TTGCAGTGATTGGCCCAGAGACTGGTACATATTCCAGGCCTAGCCAATCAATGTCTTTCCCTGAGATTTTTTTTTTTTTTTTTGATAGGCCCTCTTTCTGAAGTCAAAGGTGATTTGATTTGAGCCTGGAGCTATCCGTGGCCAGGCTGACTGCCCTATGGGGAAAACCCATCTAAAGCCAGAGAAAGAAACAACTAAGACAAGGAGAATGAGGGGGAAGAAAAGAAGGCAGGGGCGGTGGGGAGAGTTAAGGAGAGAGAGAGAACGTGCAAGGATATTTGAGCCTCTGGTATTCATATCTGCAAGGCCAATGCCATCCCCGACTCTCCAGGGACTGAGCCAGTAAATTCCAGTTTAAGCCAGACTGAGTTACAGTTACTTAAAACCAAAAGATGCTTGAATTCTATCATCGTAATGACTCACACTGGCCCATAGTCTGCTTGCAGCATAATTTATTAACCATTCAGCCTCTGAGGAGCGTTGGATTCTTCCCCAATTCCCCGGCTATCAGTGATGCTGCAAGGAGCCCCCGCATGCTCACGCCTTTCCACACGTGTGCAATAATCTTATTAGGGGCAATTTCTAGACTTGAACTTGAACATCAAAGTGTGCTCCACTGCTCTTGACCCCCATCCCTACCTTTGGCTTCCTGAGTCATGGACCCTCACTGAGTCTAACTTCCTTCTGTCCCTTTGTGCTATAGGTTCCCAGTAAGTCTTGTGGCCTAACCAGGCAAGGAATGAAATGGCAGGTCTGCGGGGGGAATCAGGCGCGTTTGAAGAGCTCCTGGGCTTCCAAAGCCCTGTTTGCTTCTTGGGACTCACAGGCCAGAGGCAGGAATGCTCAGCAGTTCCAAGACGCAGGAATGCTTCATCTGGCAGACAGAGGCTGCCTCCAATTCTGAGTCATTAGAAAAAATGAGAAATCCGAGAAAATTATGAAGGGGAAGGACTTCAGAGATTATTCATCCCAGACACATACCCTGTCCACCACCTGCTATATCCTATCTAGCTCAGCTGACTCAACCATGCGCCCCATGAGCGCTGGGATTTTTGTCTGTCTTGTGCCAATGCCAAGAATGCCACACAGCACATAGCAGGGCTTCAATAACCGTCAACTGAATGGGTAGAAGGATGGATGGATGGATGGGGTACTCTCACTATGTGACACAAATGGGCTCAAGGGCAGATTCTGCCCCTTACTCTAAGTTCCCTCCCTCTCCAGGTCTAGTCGTCCCATGTGTAAAATGAGGTCATTAAATTAGACTACCTCTAAGCTCCTTCCAGTCTCTTACTCACGAGCCAGTTGTGACCAGGTGAGGAATCCTGAGCTTTGGGGCCAAGAGAAAGCATCATCCATACAGTTCTGCTACGACTTGGGGTGTCTGCACAAGTTCGGAGTGGAAATGAAGTCAGAAAACACAGGGCTTTAACCTGAGCTTTGCCTCTTCCTGGCTGTGTGACCTTGGACAAGTGACTTAAACTCTCTGAACTTAGCTTCCACATCTATAAAACAGGGACTGTAAAACATTTCATTCGCTTGTGGAAAAGATGAAATGAGATAGCGTACAAACACTTCGCACAGTGCCCGGCACAGAGTGAGAACTCTATAAATGGTGATGGTGGTCGTTTGGACCCTCCCGGATCCCGTATTCGAGGAATGCCGTGTGTTGTCCCATAACCAACTATGAGCCTCCATCTAGGAAACCTGGACAAAGCGGAGCCCTACTTCAGGAAGAAGGGCTGACCTCAGGCCAGAAAGATCCTCGAGAAGATCCCTTTAAAGGGAGCCTTTCCCATCTTCATCCTTCTTCCTGCCTGAAATTCAGGCACAATGGCTGGAGATCAGGCAGCCACTTTGGACCATGAGGAGACCTTGAGGAGAGAAGCAGAAAGTTAGAAGGGGCCTTGATCCCCGATTACCAGGCTTTGGTTACCTACTTTAGGCTTCTTTATTGCAAGAGATAAACATACCTCTAATTTCTTTAAACTATTATTTGGATTTTCTGTTTCATGTAAACAAACCTAATTTTATTTCTTCCCAGTTTGTAGATGGAAAAAAAAAGAAAAGAAAAGAAAAGAAAAAGCAAAAACAAGGCTCAGAAGGGAGAGATTCACACAACTAGCAAGTGCTAAGTCAGGATTTGAATCCAGATCTCTATGGTTCCCTTGTCATGGACTCTACCAAACCCTTTGTCGCCCATGATGAGAGTGCCCCGCCCTCCCAGGCTACCCGCATGCCAGCTGTTAGACAGGACGAAGGCTGGAGGAGCTGGGGCAAGGGAGCTCTAATCACAGAAAACTTTACAGAGGAGGTGGTATTTGAGTTGGGTCTTAGAGAATAAAATAGTAATAATAACTGAACCAGCCCTTCAGACAAAAAGGGATGCCCACACTGTGGCCCTGGGCTAAGTACGGCATCTGGGCGTATGTCAGGGGTCCCCAAACCACCCCCAGGTTCCGTGGTTCACCAGGAGGGGTCACATAACTCAGCATACAGTCTTACCTGCGCATGCATGACCTGTCACAGCGAAAGAATACAAAGCAAAATCAGCAAACAAACAAACAAAAAATGCCTGAGGTGAAGGCCAAGGGGACCAAGCGTGAGCTGGGTCTCCTCCCAGCGGAGTCACACAGAAGGCACTTCATCCCTCCAGCAGCAAACTGTGAAAACACATCAGGGATCAACCAGGGAGCTTGGCAGAGACTCAGTGCCCACGGTTTTTCCCAGGGGGCCGGCCACGCAGGCCCAGCATGTCCCAAAATTCCCGACTCCTGGAAGGAAGGCAAGTGTTTAGTATGAACCAGATTGTTTGCGCAAACAGCGTGGGTGCAGCGGGTCCTCTCCTCAGGGGATGGCAGGATCCCCCGAAACCCGAGCTCCCGGGTGCCAGCTGAGGGCTGAACCCACGAGCTGCCTTTCTAAGGACAGCAGCCTCAGGCCCGCCGTGCTGGCGCCTTTCTGCACAGCAGTGACACCTTCTATCCCATTTCTCTTTGAAGTGACCTGGGAAATGGTTTCTGATGTCTCTAACCCAGATTTGTTGGGAAAATATTAGTTTGCCATGGAGATCATTTCCACGTTGCCTAGAGAAGAGCCCTGAGCCATGCAAGAACCTGGGGAGGGGTCGGTCCAAGGAGCCCCGAGAGCACGGGCTGCCTTCCAGGGCTGAGCGGGCCGCGAACCCAAGTTCCGGTCTGGCCGAGCGCGTCCCAGGGAGGAGCCTCGGTTTTCTCTTCAGTGCAAAGAAGACCCTGGATTTCATCTGCATCAGTGAGCTCTTGCTGCACAACAAACCACCCCAAAAGTCGGTGGCTTAAAACAGCAAAGTTTTATTATTTCTCACAGTTCCACGGGATGGTGATCTGGGTTGGGCTCTGAGTAGTGGCTCTTCTTCTAGCGTTGCCCGGGCTCACCTGTGAGGCTGTGACCAGGTAGCATGGAGGACAACGGGGACTTCCTCCCTGTGGTCTGTCTCTCATCCTCCAACAGGCTGGCCCAGGCCGGTTCCCATGGCAACTGGGCAGGGGTCAGAAAACACGGGCGGGAGCTACAAAAGTTCTTAAGTCCTGGTCTTGAAAGTGAGGTAGCGTCACATTCTGGCGGTCCAGGAAAGACACAGCCCAGCCCAGACTCAAGGGGAGAAGAAATGGCCTCCCCAGCTTGGGCGGAGTGGCAGGGACAGCACAGAGGGGTGTGGGTACAGGGAGGGGTAAAAATTACAGCTAACTTTTCATTAACCACACCATTTTTTCTATTCTCGTTTCAGTCATTTATTTTGCATACTTGAACACCTTTTATGTCCCCACCATTTGCCAGGCACAGACTGATGGGGAAACAGATGAATAAACCAATATGTGCCACAAAGCTATAAGGCAAGAACGTTTATTGTATAGATATTTCTTTTTTTTTTTTTAGATTTTATTTTTATTTTATTTTTAGAGAAGGGAAGGGAGGGAGAAGGAGAGGGAGAGAAGCATCAATGCGTGGTAGCCTCTCACACACTCCTTACTGGGGACCTGGCCCTCAACCCAGGCAAGTGCCCTACACTGGGAATCGAACCAGCGACTCCTTGGTTCGCAGGCTGGCACTCAATCCACTGAGCCACACCAACCAGGGCTGTTTTATAGATATTTCTTTATATTACATTTTTTTCTGCAACTTACCAGAGAATGAACAAGGAATAAAATTGTGAATTTTAACCAAAGAAGAAAATTGAAACCAAAAGGGGAAAGAAGATAGTTTTTCATGACCCACAGTGTCCCTGCACCTTACACATATTATCTCCCTCCATCTTTTCCTTGATCCTTTTACAAATAAGCAGCCTGAGGCTCACTGCAGATCATTGATTTGCCTAAGTTCACTCAGAGCTGAATGGCAAAGCTGAAAGCCACACGGTTGAGTTTGACCCCAGATTCCGGATGCTCCGATAGAACAGCTGTAAAGGGAGCTTGAGATCTGACTATGCATTTCCTAGCCGCCTAGGGGAAAAGGGAAACTAAACATATTGCCCAACTGGTCCCTAGCAAGGGAAAAACCAGACACTTCATTCAGGAGAAGCCAAATCCTTCCTAGCACTGAATTCACTTTTCTTTTCTAAGGTGGAACCTGGGGCTCAGCTTCTGGGCCAAGCTGAGTGGCCCTTCATTTTATACGTGAGGAAGTTGCTGAGTAAATGCCCCTTGCTTCCTGGAAAAGGTTCTGGCTTCCAGTGTCGTCTTCTGTGCGTGTGTGCGCGTCCGTGCGTCTTGCTTTCTCTTTTTATCTTCACCCCTCCTCCTGTCTCTTGGTCTCTTTAACTTCTATCCCTCCCTTGCTCGCACCCAAAATGTTGAGAGAGCCTGCTACTCAACTCCGTTGCTCTTGTTGTTGTTGTTGTGGGGTTTTATTTTTTTTCTTTCTTTTTTCTTTTTTTTTAGGAAGTGCTACTACATCAAGAGCTCACATACACACCCCAGTAGGACAGGACTTCCTCCTCACACAGGGCGGGGCGAGGCCAGCGGGAAGGGGCCTGTTAGAGCTGAGGTGGCACATCTCTGTCTGGCCAGCTTGAGTGGCAGCTGGGTCAGCAGTTCGGGGGAGCACTGACCACTCTTCCCTGGAGGCTTCGGAATGAACTTGTGCCACCCAGGTAAGCACCTGGGGCCAACCTCTCTGGCCTCAATTTCCTCTTCTGTAGGGTGGGGATAACAGTGCCTGTCTCAGAGGATCCTGGGAGGACCTGGTGTGTAGACAGATGCAACACAGGTGGGAAAGGCAGGAGCATGCAACCAACACTTGTGGGCTCAGGCTGGCTGCCAAGCTGTGCCCCAGGGACTGGGAACACGGTGAATCCCGCGGGCGCTGGCCCTGCCTTCAGTGGAGAGGCAGGCAGTCAGCACATCAATGTCCCATGTCAGATGGTAACAAGCAGAACAAACAACAGGAAAGTATGATGAGGAGAATGGGAGCGCGTAGTGGAAAAGGCCTCACGAGCAGAGACCTGCCCAGGCCGGGTGGCTCAGTAGGTTGGAGCGCTGTCCCGGGCACCAAAAGGCTGCAGGTTTGACTCCTGGCTGGGAACGTGGGGGAGGTAACCTATCGATGTTTCCCTCTCACGTTAATGTTTCTATCTGTCTCTCTCTCCCCACCTTCCTGTCTCTTTTAAATCAATAAACATATCCTCCAGTGAGGATTAAAAAAAAAAAAAAAGCAGAGATCTGAGGGAGGGGAGGGAGTCATCCTTGTGGGTTTCTGGGGAAAGAATATTCCAGGAAGACAGAGCAGACAGTGCACGTGTGGGGCTGAGAAACATTGTTTGTGTCGAAGGTGGCAATGTTGGTCACAGTGATGTCTGTCTGGGTGGTACAAAGTCCCCGAAGCCCCTGTTTGGCCTTTGGGGAGAGAGGTTGGCCTACGGGGAGGCAGGAGCAACCACCTGAGGCGCATGGAGGAACCAGGGACGAGCAGCAGGGGACCGTGGCTGAGACCCCCCCCCGCAAGAGCACATGTCCTGGAGGGAAAGAAGAAGGGAAGCTGTGCAGCTGGGATGTGACAGCGTGAACGGCGCTGTGTTTCTCTGAGACAGAGGGAAGAGGGGCCCATTCCCTGTGCCCCGCCTCTCAGAATGTTCTGGCACTGTCTGGGAGTCCTGCAGACAGGGGCCGCTGGAAGCTGACCGACTCCCCAGGTCCAGGCAGTGCCAATCTGTTAGTAACAGACGCTTCCTTCAAATAAAATCTAACCCAGAGCAGTCGGACCCTGCACCCCGGGAGCCCACACCCCACAGCGAGAGAGCCCCAGGTCCAGGTCACCACCCCCAGGAGAGAGGCAATGAAGGAGGCCCGGCCCGGGGAACAGTCCTGTGGAGGCAGACCGCTCCCACCCCCCGACTCCCTGCCCAGTGCTCTCTCCCTGACCCCCTGGCTTCTCCTGGGGGCTTTTGGGGGCAGGAGACTCACAGACAGCACGGGCTCAGTGAGAGCCTCTTAGGCAAGGACGACCGGGCGAGGGGCAGCGCCTGGCTCAGGGTCATTCGGAAGATGAAGGGGCAGACGAGATAGTGAAGTAACCCCCCCCCCCCCCGCCCCCCGGCCCGTACCTGTCTTTCCATCATTATCACTTTGCTCTCCGCAGCTTTCGCCTACGGGGCCCTGAGGGACAGGGATGGTTGTCCCCATGATGCAGATGAGGAAACTGAGGCTCACCAGAGCACACCAGAGGAGAGCACTGACTTGCCCAAATTCAGGTGGCCAGTAAATGGCAGAATAGGAGGCAAGCCCCTGAGAGGAGAGAGAACCGCGGCTACCTTGGGCTGTAAGAGGGAGGGGTTCCGGGGAGGCCAGAAGGGGCTCCCTGCTTTGCTTTAGGCTGAACCTGGAAAGAAACAGACTCTGTGCAGTGGAAAGAAATAGATTCAATGCAGTCGACAACAGCAGTCGGTTGGAAGAGCTGAGGTCTCCATTGATTGGTTCTTCTGTTCACTCATTCATTCTATAAGCAGCCGTCTGGCTGCTGTGCAGGGCTGAGGGCAGCAGTAACCCAGGCATGGGACCAGCCCTGGGCGCTGCTGGCCTGCACTGTGGCGGAGGCAGGGCCTATCGGCAGGTAACGGCCCAGGACAGACGTGCAAATGGGCACAGGCCTGGAGCACGGGAGGAAGCCACTCTTTGTGCATGAGCAGGGGAGATCTGGGAAGACTTCTTGAAGGAAGCAGAAGGAGAAAGGGAAGATCATTCCTCTGTTACCCAGACTGGGTCTTAATGAAAGCACCTCCGTGGCTGAGTGACTGCCCCTCTTTGAGCTCAGATAAGTGGGCACTGTCATCACAGCCCGACCTGAACAGCGAACCAGCCTGCGGAGCCAGCCAGGCTTGGCTCAGTTCCCAGCTCCGTGCCAACGCACCGCCGGTCATGACAGGCCTCAGTTTCCCCACTCGTAGAATGGACAGGACAGGGGCAAAGGTCTCCTCAGGGCTGCCTCCCCTTCTCTAGCCACGGGTGTGTGACATCCAGGAACGGGTCGGTCCCCCTTCCCCAGGCCTGCCAGGAAGGTGAGAAGACCAGGCAACAAAGCCCCGACAGAACCAATGACAGTCTCAGGTTGTGCAGGAAGGATGAACGCTTTTAAAAATAGCACAGAGACGGCTTCGCTGTGGGGAGGAAGCTACACGAGGCAACCACAGAGCAGGCCGGGCGGGGAGCAGCTCCCCGAGACACCCGTCCTGCCCCGGGGGCCATCCCGCCCGGCCGAGGACCTGTGCCCTGAAGGCCCTGGGAGAGCAGCTCCTGCTGCCCTGGAAAAGGGGAAGCCAGGCCAGCTGTCCTGGAAGCAGGGCTGCACGCAGAGTGATTTCTAAAAATACGACGGGAAAGAGGAAGGAGAAAGGGGAAGTGGGGAGGGGAGGGGGAGATGATTGGGCGGGCACCGGGCTACACACGGGCTACAGGCTGCAGGCCTGGGCAGGGGGAGGAGGGTGGCCCCGGCCCAGGCGTGGGTGCGGTCGGGGTCTAAAGGTGACCACTGGGAGGTGTGAAGAGCACAGAGCTAAGTGTGGGGTAAAGGGAGCTTTGTAGGGGTGCCGGCTGTTATTACCGCGTTGCTATTCTTTGTGTTTTAGAGCTCTTACTATTATCCTTGTTATTATTAAAAATCTCCCCCCCCCCCCCCCCCCCGTGAGCCACACCAGTGCCTGAAACGGGCTTGGGATCAGAAGCGGGTGCTCTCGGCTGGGTTCTTCTCACACTCGCTGAACCTCAGTGCCCTCGGCTCTGAAATGGGAAGAAACCCCCACTTTTTAGCAAGTAGGTGAAGGGTGAGAAGGTCCCTGTGTGTCACATGATGGGTGCAGCGGTCTAGAGGCTGTCAGCCCTGTCCCACAGGTTCCAGTGCACATGGCCAGTGCCACCTGCTGGGGTCAGGGCCCCGACAGAGGGGCCAGTGGCCCGCGAGTATCCATGAATCTACCTGTCAAAGCACAAAAACAGCTGTACGAAGAGAAATGCGGGTAGCATCCCACCTGCCACGACGCCATCCCCCTCTCCTGGGAGCGCTGTGTTCCCACCACACCTGTGCCTCAGTGTCCCCTGCTCTATGGTGTTGGCTTTGTTTTATTTCTCACCCCAGACAGGGAAAGGGGCTCAGGGCGTAGGCGACATGCTGCATCTTGTCTTCATTCCCAAACGTGGAGGCACAGCCAGCATGCCCGCATGTCAGAATCTCCAGGGTTAGCGGCTGTTGGGGTTTGACGGTTCGTCCGCCAGAGGAGTAATGACCACTCTAAAGCCTCAGAACCCAGCGGGGCCTGCAGTGTGAACCTCGGCTCCCCCGCTTCCAGCTGTGCCACCTTGGGGGAGGCGCTTAACCCCTCTGAACCTGGGGTGTCTCGTCTACAGAATAAAATTAGAAATACCTTCCTTCTTCCAGAGCTGTCATCTGGATCAAATGAGATAGTGGACGGGCGAAGCCTAGAGCACGCAGGGCCTGGCACATAATAGGTGCTCAACTAGCATGCCTTTCCTTAACCCATGGCTTGGCTTGTTTACTGAGATGTGGGGCCCCAGATCTGCCGCAGCAAGAGGGAAGGAGTTGAGGGACCTCGAGGGAGGAGCGCAGGAGGCCCTGCGGGGGAGCCGGAGAGGGAGAGTCCGCTCCTGGGCAGAGGGGAGGGAGGTGTTCTAGGCAAGGGGAACAGCACGTGCAAAGGCCTGCGGAGGGAAGGACCCATGAGAGCAAAGGAAGGGTGGCCCGCAAGGCCTCGCGTGGAGGGCGGGGGCGTGGGCACTTGTGCGATGCGATGGGGGTGCATCAGCAGGACCGCTGGGCCCCGTGGAATCTGGGATCTTTATCCCCAGGACAATGGGACGCCATGGGGTTGGAAGGACAGAGGGGAGGCAGGGATACATGGAGAGGCCCTGCATCGGTCACCCAGAGACAGGAGCCAGGGGCCTGGGTGAGAGTGGGGGCCATACAGACAGAAAGAAGACAGGCAGATGGGGCTTGGTGAGGGAGGAGGCGTGAGGATGAGAGAGAGGTGAGTGCCCAGGTGCTTCCTGGGGCCTGGACAGGAGGGGTCTCAAGAACCATCCCAGAGCCCGGGGAACTCAGAAAAAATTGAGGGGAAATTCTAGGACTTCCGTTTTGGTCAAAATGACAAACAAGATGGCAGCCAGTGCCCAGGGGGCTGGCAGGGTCTGAAACTCAGGGAGGGGCTGGAACTGAGGGTGTGCATGTGGCAACGTGGCCCCAGGGAGGATGAGGGAAATAAGGAGAGCCGGTGGGGAAAGGAGGAGTAAGCCCAGACCAGGCCGCGGGAGCCCAGGGTGCAGCCCTTCACCAGCTACATTGGGGATTATGGGTAGAAAGGCTGGAACCAGACTGGCTTCTCGCCAGCAAGCAGCCCCTCTGGAATCCACATGGCCTCCACCAGGAGGGGTACCTGGGCCAGAAACCCCCCTCTCAGGACACAAGCCCCAGCCAACAGGAAGACAGTAGGAAGTAAACAAACTAAACAAAAAAGTCTGCCCTTTTACCCCAAAGTCAACTAGAGGTGACTGGGTTTTTCCATGACAGAACTCAGCCTCCCTCCAACTCCCTCCTGACAGAAGACTTCCCAGCCTGCAGTGTGGCCTCCCCTGCCAGGCCCCTGCTCCCGTCTCCACGTGGATGGCCCCACATGCCTTCTATTCTGGCATGTTCCCACAGCTGCCGAATCCTGGTCCACAGTCTTTCCTGGGTACCGGCAAACCAGGGTCCTAATCCCAGCATTGCCATTTCTTGGCTGTGTGACTTAGGGCAAGTCACTTTACCTCTCTGAGCCTCAGTACCTTCAACTAAAAAATACCCACTTTACAGAGCGGTAAGGATTAAATGACCCAATTTATATGAAGCTGCTGGCATGGAGTAGCTGTTTTTGAGCTTGAAGCTTAATGGAACTGTTGCTTTGTCTGCTGGTGTGAGTGCCACCTCCCCGACTTCCTGGAACCAGGAACTCTAGACCCACAGAGCTCAGAGTTGCAGAACAGAAAGGAAAACTTCCAAGTGAGTCGCTAGGAGGGTGGTAGTGGAGCCCCTCGCCTCCGCCCTTGTTCCTGGATCTGTGTAGATTACCTACCGGGGACAAAGCACCATCTAATAGCCGTTGATTCAGGGTACAGGGGATGGTGCCCATCCAAGTAGGACAATGTCTCCAAGCTGACACCTCAGCTGCACATTCAAGAGGCTGTTCCATTGCTCCAGTCAGCCAGCATCTTCTGGTGGTAAAATGCTGAGGGGACCGGCAGGACCCGTGGCCACATGTTCCTCCTGCACCTCCTTCACTATAAAGAGGGTCCCTCGGTCTAATGCGATGTCATGCAGTGTTCTGTGTCAGTGGATCACACCTTCTGGAAGCCCTTGGATACTGAGGCTGCCCGAGGCTCTGTGGGCAGGAAAAGCCACCACATACCCAGGACATGAGTGGATGCCAGTCATGATGAATTGCTGGCCTCTGCAGAATAGAAAAGAGTTAGTGTAATCAGTTTGCTACCAAGTTACTGGTTGGTTTTCTCAAGACACAGGGATCTCTCTTGCTGGCAAGTCACGTGTTCAGCAGCGGTATTAGCTGGGGAAGCCTGGGTGAGTGGGTCTGGCCTCCACGCAGGCCACACGGCATTTTTATTCATGAGCCATTGTACTGCACTAGGCTGGCCAATCAGAGACTGGCTGATGTTTCCCTGGACAAGTCATTCTGTTTGCTTGGTGGTTTAGTGCCTCTCCTGAGACGGATGCTTGCTGGGGCCTTACCAAAATCTTCCCATTCGGTGTCCACTCCCACAGGGCCATCCACTTGCCTCTCCCCCAGACCTCTCTGTTCCTAGTCTTCTAATGTTTCTTCTTTTCAGCCTCTGACCAAGCCCCCTACTGCCCAAGAATGCACATATATTCCTGCCTCCTGACACTTCTCTCTCCACACAAAACGGAGGACCAAGTGCCCTGCCCAAAACTCTGCCCTGTGGGAGGACTTCTCAACACTCTCTTTCTAGAACACCTTTGAGCAGGACTGTAGTTCAATAGCTGTCTGGGTTTTACTTGCACCCAAACACTGAACCACCCATCCTAAAACCAAACCCGGGCATTTTCCTCCTTTGTCAGAAGGTCACAAGAGACCCACCCATGCAGACCTGGTGTGAGCTGAGGGACAAGCCTTGGTGCACTAGCAGTGGGTGACGGGGGGTCTGCGCCACCTGTTCATGGAGCTCACTGGGGCCTTCTGGTTCTGCTCATGCTTGTTCCTAGGTAAACCACTTGCAAAAGATTGCTATTGGGCTCACTTGACTTTATGACTTGATAGATCAGACAGACCCATCTTGGCTACTTAACCAAAGGAATCACTACCATATACACTCGCCACAGTGTTGCAGAACCCTTCCCTCTGGGGACACAGCTTCTTCTGCAGTCAATAGATTTGGAGTCTGAAAACTGGTTCAGGTCCAGAAACGAGGCAGACGTCTTGACTTTTTGTGCTGTAGCTGCCCTTTGGGAGGGACATGTCCTTAGGTGAGGTAGCTCCATTTGGCTGAGGTAGTATCCTGGGGAGACACTCAGCTGTAAGAGACCAGCAGGCTACCTGCTCCCAACCCCCAGCAGCTGAGAGAATGGGCACCTTGGTCCGGAGGAGGAGCACGGCATGGCACAACATAGCATCCATTATACACATGTTGGACCCTTACCATATGTCAGACGCTTACTGGATGTTTAACGAAATTTGACTCTTTTAGTCCTGACAACCAAGCTCTAGGTAAGGATTATGGTTCAGGTTTCTCAGATAAGGACACTTATTTGGTTAAGTTGCAGGTTTGACCACTGTAAGGAAAAGACTCAGCATAACTGTGACTGAAACATTCCCAAAACTTACTTCTCTCTCATTGCAAAGTCCAAGTGGGTAGCTGCTGGTTGAAGTAAATATGTTGACTTTTCTCCACACAGTTGCCCAGGGCCCAGGCTCCTTCTAGCTTGCTGCCCTGCCATCTCAATTCCCAGCTTTCATCACAAAGTCTGAGATGGCTGCTTAGTCAACAGGAGAGAGAAGTAGGGAAGTGGAGGACTTGATAGTCTCTCTGTATTTGTTCAGGAGAGGTAGTATCTGTCCTTGTAAAACCTGTAAGAAACATGGCCAGGCACTAGATCTGAAAGTCAGGGAGGATTTGCATAAGCAGACAGGAGAAGGCATGCAGGTGGAGGAACTGCATAGGCAAAGGTGGGGGAGTAAGAATGAGAGTTAGACCATTCGGGGGCAGTGAGGAGCTGGCAGCCTGGACTGGCAGCTCTTGCTGAGAATGGTGGGGCAACCTGGCTGGTGAGGCTGGAGAGACTGTGGGGGACCAGGGTGAGGACTTTTTTCCTGAAGTGATGGGGAGTTCATGGAGATTTTGACCAGGAGAGTGCTGTGGATGGAACAGGAAGCACAATGTGGGGTAGAGGTAAGCTAGCTGAGCTGGATGTGGGAATTGTCATAGCACCTTGTACAGAATTCTGACCAACACACACTTATCTCCTTTCATTCATTTTCAGGTGAAATGGAAAAAGCTTAGTAGTCAGGCCAATCCAAGATCAGCCCTGGTTCAGCAACTTGTCCCTGTGGGACCTTAGCCAGGTCACCTCACCTCTCTGAGCCTCAATGTCTAGGGCAGAAACTGTGAAATATTCCCCAAAATCCAGTTTTCCCATCTCACATAGTAAGAATATCGGGACCACTCTACTACAGGCTCATTTTCCAGGCTCCCTTGCAGCTAGATGTTGCAATGTGACCACACCTGGCCAATAGAGTGTGAAGCAAAATGATACACAACTTCCTGGTTGTGCAAATAAATAAGTGAACAAATTATAAACATATAATCCCGTAAAGGAATAAACTAAAGTTTCAGGGAAGAATGAATGCCTTCAACAGGTATTTTATTGAGTACCTGCTTTGTGTCGGGCTCTTTCTAGCTGCTGAGGATGCAGCAGTGAACAAAAGAGTTGAAGTGCCTGCTTTCATGGAGCTGAGAGTATAATGAATGCAGTAGAGAAGATACAATTACACAAGATAATTTCTGGGCAAACAGAAAGCTGGGTAGGAGAAGAGGGTCGGGGAGAGGCTGACTTAGAGAGGTCAAGGAAGGTCTCTTGAAGATGGTGAGACCTGAACCCAGGCTTGAGTGAAAAGGGCTGGAAAGTCATGGGTTTCTGGAGGGAAGAGGGGCCTGAGAGCTAAGCGGTGTGGTTGGAGCAGAGTGATGGAGGGGAGGCCCGTGAGTGAGGCAGTGACCACAGGTTCTCCTTTCTCCAGACCCAGCGGAGCTGAGCAGTGGGGAAACCGAGGAGCTGCAGCAGATCAAATGGCACCGGCAGCAGCTTCTGGAGGACATCCAGGTGAGCGCACGTTCACATGCACACACAGACAAATACATGTACACACACACGTTCACACCGACACACCCTCCAGCCACACGCACCCACAAACACTCAGGCATGCTCGAACTCCTCCCACTCACTCCTGACCCAGCCTGGTCAGAGAGGAGGTTCTATTCCAGCCACACCCAGCCTCAGTCCAAGCCCCCAGGAGTGGGGAGAACAGACTCCCCAGGGGACCTCCCTCGCTGCTGGACCGAGCTGCCAGGAGAGAGCCAGAAGAGCAGGGAGGGAGGAGCAGCAACAGAGTAAGCCCCTCTTGTGTGTGGAGCTCGCCTGGGGCGCTATACACCCCATCACTTGGTAGCTTCTGCTCCTACTTGAATGGCTTCGGTCCACTCTCATCCCCACGCTGAGCCTCAGCTTCATCCCTCTCCCCCCAAAGGGAGGATCATTTAGCCGGCACTTACCAATTCACCGGTTTTTCAGGGGTTAGCACATCTGGCTCTCAGCAGCCTCCTGAGACGGGCCCTGGTTCTGTTCCTGGAATGTGCTGAGTTCTGTCCTGCCTCTGGGCCTTTGCACTCATGGTTCCCTCTGCCCGCGACTCTCCCCAGCTCTCGTCACGGCTCCTCCTCATTATTTCACATGCCGTCTCCCCTTAAAGGCTGCCCTGCCCACCCTGGCTACCGTTGCTGGGGTCCCACCCCACCCTGACACACACTCACCTCCTGTGGCAGGGGAGAATGAAGGTACAGAAGCATTTGCTCCGCAAGGATTTTACTGAGCACCTACCACGTGCCAGCCTTTCCCTATCACAGGCGGTCATTACTGTGATCATTTTCTGCACAGTCATTTCACATCCCCATGGCTGCCATGATCCCAGCCCCGCTAGACTGTGAGCCTGGGTCTGTCTTGCCCACCACTGTATTTGCAGCCCAGTAGTCAGAGCATAGTAAGTGCTCAGTTAATACTTGCGAGTGAGCCCTCATCTTATTTGTGGGGAAGCCACTCAGTGATTCAGCTGAGATCACATGGACAGGAGCTGATTGGGCACAGATATAGGCTCCAGGTCCCGCTGTGCTGTCCCTGGGTCCCGGGGCAAGCCCCTGGGACCGCACCATCCACAGATCTCAGGGGAGGTAGGGAAGGACTGGGTCCCTTCTGGGGACGCATGCTGCTGCATGGAGATGCTGGACAAGATGCCACTTCGCCCTGTCTGCTCAGTGATGGCAGTTGGCAGAGACTGGACTTCTCCTCTGCTACCAGGCACCCCGGGCAGCGCCAAGAGGAAACAGACTTGAGGCTTGATTCTAATCAGAGGCTTGAAGTCAGACCTTAGACATGTCCCTTTGCTTTGTATGCCCCAGTGTCCTCTTCTGCAGATTCCATGGGGATTGCAAAGTCCCTGCATTTTCTAGTACCTGGTGCACCCACGGTGCCTGACACACAGCGGGCATGGACTCAGGGACACATGTCAGAGTAAACAGATGGAAGGAAGCTGGGGAGAGGCTGGGTCCCTCACAGGGCTGGACTCTGTGCCTCCTTTGTGTGTGTGGGGGGGGGGGGGCGCAGGGGGAGCCACGGGAGGAGCCTGAGTAGGGGCGGGGCAGGCGCCAGGCGGGCTTCAGAAGGATGGCAGCTGGGTGGAGACAGGCTCTTCGGGTGGGCGTGGCTAGAGGGCGGGGGACTTCACAGCTGCAGAGGGGAGAGGTTGGAAGGCCAAAAAGAGTCGGGGAAAGGGTGGGCCCTTGGGGGCTGCCTTCCCAAGTGAGGAGATGGTAGAAGAAGGGGCACGGACAAAAGCAATAGTTTGTAGTTTGGTCTGGGACCTTGGGGATATGAAACATCTGGGGTGGGGATCTATCAGGAAAGAGCAACTTGGGAGTCATGCCCAGGGTGGGCGTGGGTATGGGGGAGGGCCGTGAAACCCTGTCTATCCCAGGTTTTGCTCCCCAACTATCCCTCCCCATTTACGCCCCTCTCTCCTCCCCTCACCCCACAGAAGCTGAAGGACGAGATCTCAGATGTGTTTGCCCAAATCGACTGCTTCGAGATGGCGGAGGAAAGGTGAGGGGCCTGGGCAGGGGACCCCAAGAAGCTGCCCCGGTGGCTTCCTAGGGGTGTCACACATCATGAATGGGCAGGGGCCACGCCTGGTCTGGGATCCTGGTGAAGTCAGGGGTCAGGCCCCCAGAGGAGGAGGGAGCGATGCTGAGCCAGAAACAGGGCGGCCATGACGCTCCATCGCGCTAGCCTTGTCCTGGTCTCCAGACAGTCCCTCTCTTGAGAGACCGCCCCATCCCCCAGCCTCTGCGCCCAAAGCCTCTTCCAACCCACCCTGACCCAACCCTTGACCAACCGCCACACAGGAGCATCCTGGGAAGGGTTTGGGAGGAGGAAAACTCAGCCCCAAAGATGAGGCCAGGGAAGCCAAAGGCCTTGAGGGGGCGGGAGCCTGACCCGAGGCAGGACCGAGGCTGGTTTCCTTCACCCCACCCACAGGCTGCCATTCACACTGCCTCTTCTGTGGGGACACTCCCACTGGCTCTGTGACCTGGGCTCGTCCCCTCCCCTCTCTGGGCCTCAGTTTCCCCACTTGTGAGATGAGAATGTTGGTCCCTACATAACCCTCTAGGGCCCCAGGACACTGACTCCTCTGTCCAGTGTCCCAGGGAACCCCCGCCCTGCCCCTGCCCCCCTTAGTTCTCTGCTGCCTCTGATGCCCCCTGCCCGGCCCCCGACAAACGCAGACAGACGCCCACGCATGCTCACAAGGCCCTGTCTCCAGGCTCCCTGGTTAGGCCGCAACAACAATACCACAAAATTTCCAGAGCACCTACCGCCATGTCTTTTCTGCGCTGTAACCTCCCAACAGCTCTGGGAGGCAGGTGGCAATGTCACCCCACTTTACAGATGAGGAAACGGAGGTGAAGTGATTCTCCCTCAGGGGCTGTGCCAGCAAGGGGTGGGGCGCGACGTGAACCAGGGGCTGGCCCCCTAGCCGTGCTCTCGCCCCCAGCCTCTCCGGGGTCTTGCCCGCACGCCAAGCACAGGGCCCTCTGACCGCCCCTCCTGCAGCAGCGCGGGGCCCTTGCAGCCGTGGCGCGGGGCCCGTTGGAAGAATCTGGTGTGAGAGCTCCGGGAGGACCCTAGGGAATATTGGCTCTAGCTCAGGGGGGTCTGCAAAGTGTCTGAGGGTCGTTGGGGATTGGAGTGGGGTGCCCTTGAGCCCTGGGACAGCCCACACTGACATCCGCATGTTTACAGCCGGGTGGCCCAAAAGGAGAAGGAGCTATGCATTGGGCGCAAGAAGTTCAACATGGACCCCATGAAGGTAAGCAGTTGCGAGGTGCTGCAGGCTGGGCACCTCCGTAATGTTCTCTTGTTTCCCTCAACTGACATAATAACCTGCCTTACAGATGAGGAAACCGAGACCCCGCAGGGCTCACATCACACCCAGTCATGGGCAGGGCTCTGTCACCCACAGCAGAGCAGCCCCGGGTATGAGGTGGGAGCCAGGAAGTTGGGGGGGGGCGGGGGGTGTGGAGTCTGTGGTGGCCATGGGCTTCGAGTCCCTTGGCACGAGGCCACTGTTTCCCCCTCTGTGAGCGAGGCATGGGACAGGGTGACTCTTACCTTCTGGAGCTGTCTCCAGAGGTGTCTTCCAGCCACTCGGCGTCGGGGAGCCAGAGCGGGGGTGCAGGCCCAGAGCGCGGGGGACGCAGCTGCTGCTCTCCCCGCCCCAACCCCACTGGCCTCAGAGCGGCCTGGCCCCCAACCCTGGCCCCGAGCAGTGGCTGCGGGCCCCTTTCCCGCAGGGACAGACAGGAGAAGCCCCAGCCGACACACAGAGGGGGGCCAGGGCAGCCCAGGGCCCGGGAAACGCACCGCTCTGTCTCGGGGCCACTGCCTCATGCGCCCATTCGCCCCCCCGCAGCTGCACAGGGGGCCCTGCCGCGCCCACAGGGAGCGCACACGCCCACTGACACCCACTCCCCACCCGAGCCCCTGGGGTCTCCAGGGCCCTGTGCCTGTCATTCAGGGCCCCCCTCCAACTGCCCCCCCATCTCCCACAAGCCTCTCTTTCTCCGAAAGGAGCAGGGACATGAAATCACAGAAAACCAGAGGCCAACGCCTCAAATTCCTAACATTACACCAACATGCTCCCAAGCACTTGGGTCATGGGGAGAGATGTTTGTGATATTGTCAAATCAGAAGAACAGGTTTCAAGGTGGAAGGCATGGCACACTTTCACTTTCAGAAAGAAAGGAACAGAAAGTCGCCCCCATGGGAACTGTCTACCTCCAAGTGGCAGGACTTGGGCAAGTTCTTTTTTTGATTTTGCTGTTTTTTCTAATTTTTATGCAATAGACATAAGCTACCTGCAAGAAAAAAAAATAAAGAAACACTATTTTTAAGTAATGTGAACTTTAAGGGACAAAAGAAATGGCTAAGCATTGAATCTTAAAAATTATAAATCAGTGGAATCACTGATGCGTATAATCAAAGAGCGTCAGACTGAAGGGAACCTAGGGGAGCACCTGCCATGAACATGCCTCATTGCAGAAACCGTACCTCTCTTTGCATGCCTCCAGTGATGGGGAACTCACCACCTTACAAAGGCATCTTCTGTTAAGGAGGGATACAGCTTCCCAGACCAGTCTGTGCCAATGCCATAGGGCTCTGGTCGCAGGGTCTCGCTCCCATCCTCCTCCCCAGGCTGGCTGCTCTGAGGTGATGCTCATGTCTCTGCGCACCACTTGCAGGGCATCCAGTATCTCATTGAGCACAAGCGGCTGGCCTCCAACGCCCAGGATATCGCCCAGTTCCTGTACAAGGGTGAGGGCCTCAACAAGACGGCCATCGGCACCTACCTGGGAGAGAGGTAAGGGGGCGGGGCCTTAGGGAGGCAGGGAATGAGGGTGTGTTGGGTGTGCAGGTGAGTGAGGAAGTGAATTATGTCAGGAAAGTCACCTCCTGGAGCTTGAGGAGGCGAACATCACTCCCTCCAGATTCTGAACCAAAGCCCACCTCCTTCCTTTCTTCTTCCATTTATTCAGCAAGTAGAGATTTGTTAGTATCTGCTGTATGCCAGGCACTCTTCTAAGCCCTGAATTTACACCAGTGATCAAGACAGACAAAACTCCTGCCCTCAGGGAGGTATGTACCAGTGGGGAAGACAGGTTCCCAAATATTTCAAACATGCTAGAAAATTATACACTCTTTGGAATGCAAATAAAGCAGGGAAGGGAGGTGAGAGGGGCCGGGGGCCGCAGATCAAGAGCTGTGACATCGGTGGGGGACAGGAATGGTCTCGTGGACAGGGCTGGGTGGACATCTACGGGGAGGGCATTCCAGGCAGAGGGAACAGCACATGCAAAGGGCCCAGGACAGAAGCACGCTCAGAAGAGTAGTCTGAGAGGACCCTTCTGGCTGCGGGGCCGGGGGCCTTGGACTGTAAAGGACCTGGGTGCTCAGCCAGCCAGCCGGCAACCACTCTCCCAGGCTCCCCAGGGGACGCGTTTCTTCTCCTGTGCAAGCAGGGAACACAGGTGGCGAGAAGGGCGGCACTTCCTGATCCAAGGGCTGGGAAGAGGGAGGAACATGGTTTGGCGGGGTTGTCTCCATTTTGCAGAGCGCCGCTCCTCTGCCCAGAGCCCTCTCGCGGGTCCCTGCCTCCTCGCCGGCTACTTCCCGCCCCCTTCCCTTGCTCTCCTCCAGTCTCCCCAGCCTGCTCTTCCCTGAGCGTGCGTCTGTCCTGGGGCCTTTGCCCATGCTGTTGCATCTGCCTGGACTGCTCTTCCCTACAAGTCTACCCTGCTCTCTTCTTTCAAATCCCAGTCAAACATGCCCTCCCCACAAGGCCATCCCTGACCACACACATGTCACAGCCCTTGACCTGTGGTCCCCGGCCCTTCTCACTCCCCTTCCCTGCTTTATTTGTGTTCCAAAGACTGTATATTTTTCTAGCATGCTTGAAGTATTTAGGGAGGTCAAGTGGCTTGAGAGGTGTCACCCAGCAGCAGGCAGTGACAGAGGAAGGCTTTGACTCAGGGAAGGCCCCCACCGCCCTGGGTGCAAGCCGCGCTGGTGAGCCATGGGCGCGGTGGGCTCTGTTCATGTTCCGGAGGCTTGGTGTTCAGGCGGGAGGGCGCGTGACGTGGGGTCAGACAGATGCGAGCAGGCCAGGGGGTGGCTGGATCCAGACGGAGGACACCTATCCCCTCTTGTCCCTCACCCACCTCCGTTCCCTCTGAGAGGCAGGGACCAGAAGGTTCCCCAGTGCATCGTACCCTCCCTTCCGCCCGCCCCCCAGGGACCCCATCAACCTGCAGGTGCTACAGGCCTTCGTGGACTGCCACGAGTTCGCCAACCTCAACCTCGTCCAGGCCCTCAGGTGAGCGGTCCCGGGCCCGGCCCTGGACGGGGGCACAGCCGGGGTGGGGGGCACTGGGGCCATCACGGGCCACGTGGTGAACAGCACAAAGTGTCAGGAGCAGAAATGAATGAGTGATAGTGCCCGCCTCATACAGCTGAGGTCGGTGAGAGCATTGGCGTGGATTGCGTGAAATAGCACCTGGTTCATTCCTGCTAAGACTACTGGTGTTATTCCCTTACAACATTGCTATAATAATGTTTAATCACTATAACCATTATTACTATTACTACTGCCGTTCCCACGACTTTTCAGAATCGTGCTTGTTTTATTTTATTAATAGCCTGTATTGCCTTATTATTACTTATTATTTTCTAATTAGGCTATTCTCATTCCTACTGTTCTTTTTACAACTATGGGAGGCTTTATAGTATAATGGCTGGGAGCACAAAGTCTGGAGCCAGACTACCGAGTTCATATCCCAGCCCTGCCATCCACCCCCTGTGTGGCCTTGGACAAGTTGCAAAAACCTCTCTGTACCTCAGTTTCTTCATCTGTAAAATGGGGATAATAAGAGTACCAACCTTATACAGTGGTGAGGACTAAATGGGAAAATGCTTAACATTGGGTCCACAGTAAATGTTTAGGAAGCCTTGGGAAATTGGCTCCCAAAAGGGGGCATATGAGCTGGGCTTTGAAGGATGAATAGGAGTTTTCAAGGCAGAGAAGAAAGAAGCCACCACTATCCAGGCAATGTGCCCTCCCTCCAACTGCCAAGCTCGTTGAGGGAGAGGGGTAGTTTCCAATATTCATTCACTCATTTGGTAGCCATTATGCAGCAGTTCCTGGGTGCCCGGGCCTGTGCACCTCCCGGCAAGAGATGTGGCAGAAACAGGCCCAGCCCTGGCCTGGAATTTAAAGCTATGGAAATCATCGACTTCCAGAGCTGAAAACAGGTTCCAAGAAAGGGAGAGCCCCAAACCTACCCAGGGGAAGGCCAGGCAGGAGGCGCTGCAGAGCCCGGGGTAGGCAGAGGCTCCGTCATTGGCTGAGGTGTCCTGCGCCACAACAGGTGCTAGGACTCAGCTCTGTTTTCAGAGTGGGGGAAGGAAAGGCATTTCTGGGAGACCTCCTGTATGCCTGGTGCTCATCAGTGCAAATCCCTGTGGAGCTTAGATGCCAGGTTCAGATTCACCTGTTTACAGGATGAAGAGACTAAGCCTGGGAGAGGCAGACTGGCTTGTCCAGTGTCCCCCCTCCCCAAGAGCTCCCACCCACCCTGCTGCCCACCGCCCCGTTCCTCCCCCAGGCAGTTCCTGTGGAGTTTCCGCCTGCCCGGCGAGGCCCAGAAGATTGACCGAATGATGGAGACCTTCGCCACTCGATACTGCCTCTGCAACCCAGGCGTCTTCCAGTCCACAGGTGCCAGTGTGGGGTGGGTGGAACCTGAGGCTCCGGGGCCCCTTCGGCATCGCCAGGCACAGAGCTGCCTCCCAAAGCACTACGGCCACCCCGCCCCCTCTGGCTTCACCCCGGTAGCCAGGCCCTGGGAGCCCAGACCATTCCATGCTCTCGCTGAGTGCCGACGCTGTGCCGGGCCCTCCGTGGGGCATTCGTTGGGCAGAGCTGCACGGGGGCATGCTCCTTAGGAGGGGAGGCAGGAAATGATGGCACAGGGTGCTAGGGAAGCAACACACCTGTCTGAGGGCAGGGACGGGGAGGGTCAGCACGTCCAGGAGGGCTTCCCAGAGGCGGTGGGCTCTGAATGGGGTTTTGAAGGATGAATAAGAGTTCTCCAGGAGGTGCAGGAGAGAAAAGGCCTTTTGGGCCCAGGAGCAAAGGCCCAGAAGCGCGAGACAGCCTGGGCAGGACATAGTGGAAAAGGAGCATAGTAGGACATCTGCAAGGGTCAGCCCTCCCAAATTCCCCACAGCAGGTGGACGAGAAGACATCACAGCAGACTCGTCCTGGCCTCTTCTCAGAATCTGAACTTACCGCAACGACAATAACAATTTTATTTCTTGAGCTGTTTCCATGCGCTAAGGGCTTCACCCACACGAAGCCCTGTAGTCCTCACCGTGAGTCTGTGAAGGCTGCAAGATTCTCATCCCCGCCCAAAGCGCGGACTCAGGGGTGGTGGCAGAAGCAGGCACGCCATTTCTGGGCTGTGTGTCCCAGGACAAGGCCCACGGAGCATCGGCCCTGGCTTGTAGTGACGCAGTTTTAGTGTTGGCTTGTTTTATTATCTGTCTGCTCTGCAAGTCTAAATGTCCCACACGAGTGGGACCATACCAGAGTTATTCCCCAGTGAATCCCCAGCCCGCAGCACCTAGTAGGGACTCAGTAAACATTTGTAGCTAGGAAGGAATTTTAAAGCCCCAAACTTGAATTGCAGTCCAACTGGTTCTTAATTCTGTAACCTCGGGCCTGTAACGTAACCTCCTTGTGCCTCAGTTTCCTCACCTGTAAAGTGGGGGCGGTGACAAGACCTGCCTCATCGGGTTGCTATGGGGATGGGAAGAGCTTAGCCCAGGACAAGCAGCAACAACATCAGGGATCACTGCTACCAGAGGCAGCATCACCCATGTTCTAGAACGTGAAACTACTTCCAAGTCAAACCTCTGAGTGTCACAGATGAGGTAGCTGGGGCTCAGAGAGGTCAGGGCATTTTCCCAAGGTCAACCAGAGGGTTGGGGGCACGCTGGACCTCCCTGGCCCCGGCTGCACACCAAAGAGCGGCTGTCACACACCCCCCCGGGGTGCTCCGCCCAGCTGCGCAGCCTTGCCGCCTTGCAGAGAACAGGAGCTCAGGGAAAATGCCAGCCAGATTGCCAAGCAGCACGTGACTGAGCTCTGAACAGGGGTGCCAGTCGCGATTCGAGACGGCAGAGAACAGAGTGGGCAGGGGGCTGGAGGGGCTCAGCGGGGGGCGGGGAGGGAGGGCCGGAGCTGAAGGATGAGGGGGATTTGAGCGGATAGAAAAGGGAAGGGGAGGGTGTGCCTGGTAGGGGCCCGGCAGGCGCAGGAGTACAGGGGTGGGAGGCACAGAGGCGCCATGAGCATTACAACTTTGGAGCAGGGAGTCCAGTAAGAAGAGGGGAAGGCGAGGCTGGGCCTCAGAGGCCAAGCCAGGAGGACAGGGTGGACCTTCGGGCCTCAGGATGGCTGACCCTTGATTCCTAGAAGGGGTCGGGGCAGAGGAGGGAGAGCGACCAGGGCCAAGGCTCTGACCCGCTGTCCCATTCCACAGACACCTGCTACGTCCTGTCCTTCTCCATCATCATGCTCAACACCAGCCTCCACAACCCCAACGTCCGGGACAAGCCGTCCTTCGAGCGCTTTGTGTCCATGAACCGCGGCATCAACAACGGCAGCGACCTGCCCGAGGAGCAGCTACGGGTAAGGGGGGCCGCTGCCCCGCCCAGCCCAGTGCTCGAGCACCTGGGGGGCTCCTCTGAATGGGCCACCACATAAGAGGCTGGTCCCAAGGTGGCCCTTCCCAGGCAGCCCCTACCCCAAGAAGGACGGGCAGAGATAGACGGCCCAGCAGGTGCTGCCACGCTTCCGGCTCTGAGGGGCTTGGGTACCCATCCTCCAGAAGGGGTGCCTCACACAGCCCAAGCCTGTTTCTTGGAATCCCAAGATTCTTCGATTCTTAATATGTCAGAGCTGAAAACTCTCACACTCCATGCCCGAACCCCTCCTTCCTTCAGAAAGGAAGAAACAGGTCTTCCACGAGGCCACATGTCAGCTCAAGAGCAGAACCCAGGCCCCCCCATCTCTTCACCAAACAGCCCCCACCCCTGCGTCCTGCGCGGGGCAGCCAGGGATGAGTCGGTGGGGAGACAATACCCATGTGAATTACAGCCCTGGGTGATTTGCTGTGCTAACTATGGGGACATTGCCGTGGAGACGCAGAGGACATTACGTCACCCTCCTGGGGGCAAGGGAAAGGTGTCCTCCCAGAAGACCCCACAGAGGAGGCGACTTTTGAACTGGGCCTTGAAGGTTAAATAGGAGTTGCCCCAGAGGAGAAGCTGGGAAAGGATGCTCAGAAAGAGGAAGTGGCCAGGACTCAGGCCGGGCCTGATTGGAAGAGGGCGGGGAGTCCCAAGTGGGGGGGCGGGGTTTTGGGTGCCTATGGACAGTGACGGGTGGTGCAATGGGGCCGGCGTGTCCAGGCTTTTGAATGAGTTTCCCAGGGGCCACAGGGAGCCAGGAGCGGTTGTGTGAACACCGGTGTAAGACTCAGAGCCTGGCTCCACAGAAATGTATGGACCGTTCATTTCTAGGACTAGAGATGCCCCAGAGCTTCCATCCTCTGCAGGTCAGAGCCCAACAGGAGCAGGGGGAGAGTGTGACCCCACCCTCCCAGACTGGTACCACTGTCCCTCCTGCAGGAGCCCGGGGGCGGGGCCTGGGTCTGGAGTGATTCTGGTGCCCCTCCTTGTTTGGGAAAGGCCCTGAGCCCACCACCTGTCTTTGCCTCAGCAGAGAAAAGGTATCACTGTGAGGAGCTCAGGTCAAATCTCATCTTCCCCGTTGGCCTGCTGAGTGACCTTGGGTAATGACTCACCCTCTGCAAGCCACCACCCCTCCAACAGCAGAACAGGGACAGTAATGCCTGCGTCACCGAGCTGCTAGGAGCAGTAATTTCTTTAAATGCAAAGGGCATAGCCCATGCCGGGGACACAGCATAGGCCCTAAATGGTGGCTTATGCCACTATTGAGAATAATGAATAATAATTTTAACACCCCGGCACTTGGTAAAATGCCTGAAACATAAAAGACCTTTAAGAACCGTTGACTCATCTCCTTGTGGTACTCGTGGCAGGAAGTGGAGCACACCTTGCCTGGCAGTTAATGAGTTAATGGCAGGCCAGCGCCAGTCCTGCCACATCTCCCAGGTGCCATCATAGCTGCCGCCCCCAGTGAGACTATTTCAGCGTCTCCCTCCTTGGATATTTTTCCCAACTTAAGCCTTTTGTTGATAACAATGCACTGCATTTGTATAGAGCTGGTAACTTTCAACTCAGAGCGCTTTCTGGTCTATTAGCTCAATTTAGCTTCAAACTCTGCCTGGGAGGTCTGGGAAAGGGTTCATTATCCTCCTCAGCAGCCAGGAGAGGCAGGGACCCAGCAGGGGAAAGAACAGAGCGTTGGAGTTGCAGCCACATCCAAGTCCTGGTTCCCCCACTTCCGGGCTGTGTGACATTAGGTACATGGCTTGACCTCTCTGAGCTGCCAGCTCATAGGGTTAGTACAGAAAGATGAGGTATTTTAGCAAAAAGTGTCTGGTATAGTTGCGGGGGGTAATTAATCAAGAAGCTTCCCGGGGCACAGAGAGAACAACACAGGCCTGGTCCTGGCTCTTTGGGGCTTTCACGGGAGATGCTGCGGATTGGGGTAGGGTCTTCCTCCCCTCTCTGGACCTCGTCTTCCCCAGATGTAAAGCAAGCACTCGGCTTTAAGCGCCTTCAGATATTCAAAGTTTGCTGCTTTGCAGAAGGGCTCCTCATAAAGCTCTTCCAGCCTGGGCCCTGCCGAGGGCACGTAGCGTTTTTAAATGGCCTGGTTTAAGAAATCAAACCAATGCAGGTACACCACCTAGACAGAAGTCACCCCGAGGGCTTGCAAGCCATGAGAGCGCACAGCTGGGAAAGCTTCGGGAAGGTGCACTTGGGGGCGGGGGCAGGTGGCTTGAGCAGGCCTTGCCCTGGGCCTTGTCATGGGACTGGGCAGAGTGCCTAGGAGCCCCAGAGAAAGGGCATAGGGTGTGGCCTCAGAGGATGGGAGCTCAAATCCCAGCCTCGCCTTTGTGGCTGTGTGACCTTGAGTCTGAGCCTCAGTTTCTTCATCTACAAAGTGGGCTGGCGACACTGAGCTTACATCGTTCTCCTAGAAGCAGATAGAACGCACTTTAAGTGCCTGGTACTTGGCAGGCACGGGAAGAGAGAGAGGAATCACTAGTGGACCGTGAGAGAGCTGCCCAGAGAGGGAGCGAGGGTGGAGGTGTATGGGTGGGGAAACTGAGGCCCGGGCAGGGGAGTTATTTCCCAATTCAGGGCATCTTCTGCTGTGGAGTCCAAGTTGGCTCCATCAGAACTGAGCATGTCCGAGCCCAGTTCTAGATAGTTCGTGTTCCCATTAAGTCCTCCTGGCAACCTTAGGCAGCAGGTACTACCTCTGGTTTACAGTGAAGGAAACTGGGCTCTGAGAAGGGTCGCTGGTCAGGGAGGGGGTTCATAGTTTGTGAGCAGTTTTATGCAAACCCACATTTGTCTAACTCCAGAGCCCTTCCCTCTGCAGACACCAGAGGCATGATTTAGGGACACAGGACTTAGCTATGTGTCCTTGTAGCCGGTTGCTTGCTGGCTCGAGGAATCTCAACTCATGTAACAGAAAAGATGTGGGATTGATCTGTCTTCTGATGAGTCTTTCAGCTTCAGGCTTGGCTTGATCCAGGTGCTCAGTGAGGTGGGACTCGGTCTCATCTCTGCAGCTGCCCGCAACTCTCTCCTCCACGTCAGCTTCCCTCTGGAACAGGTCCTCCCCCGGTCGGGGCAGAGAGGGCCGGGGTAGTGCCAGGCATCCATTTTGCCTAGCAGTTTAAACTAAAGTCCCAGAATGCAGGCTTGTTGGTAGGCTTGGGTCACCTCCCTCCCAGCACCTGTCACTGTGACCAGCAGGATGAAATGCTCTGAGTAGCCCAAACAGAATCATTTACACCCTGCACCCCAGAGCCTGGGGTGGGGGCAGTGAGTATCCACCCCCGTGAGCAATCTGGACAGAAAGTGTGTTTGGGGTGGGGGGCAGGTCCCCAGAGAAAAACTAAGGGGGTGGAAAGGGACAGATGCAAGACCAGCAGAGCCACCAGCAGACGGCCGTCGTCTATCTGATCGAGCCCACCCAGCAGCAGAAGACAGCCTGGCCCGGTGGTTCAGTGGTGGCAGGTGTGGGGGAGTTTTCTTAAGAAGAAAGGGGGACCTGGTATTGACAAGGTACAGGAAACATGGGCGAGCTGACTGGTTTCCTTGTGGGGGCAGCATGCGCAGGCTGCTAAGGTACCTACAGGAGCGGCCAGGGCCCCCCAGTGGGTGTCGGGGAGGCTCCTCTGCCCGCCTTCTCCAGCCTCCCAAATATTTGTCTGCGCTGACAGTTCTGCTGACAAGGCCCTTCTGCCGCTGGCCCTTGTTTAGCCAGCCAGTGCCCCATGGGAATTCCCAGGGCCGGGTTGGGCCTGGGAGGAAGGAACAACAGGGCTTCCTGGCTGCTCTGGGGACGGGGACACAAGGGCTCCAAATGAGCAATGGCCCCTGCTCCTCCCCACGGCCGCCCACCACGGCCGGGCTGAGCCCAGGAGCTCCGGAGTCCATGGCCCGGAGCCTCCTCTGCCAAACCCAGGAAGACCGGCTTCCAGCCTGCCCCCTCCCCGCCCCCCAGCTCTTCGGTCAGAAAAGACCTTTAAAACACAAACACCATTGCTAAGTCTTTGGGGGAATCAAGCAGTGCTTGTGAAATTTTTCATTTAAAATTTTGAGAAAACCATCTGAACAGCAGCGCACACAAATGCAATAGAAAGAAATGATTTAATTATCTGAGGGACGGAGAACCAGCATTGTGTCTGGTTTTAATAAGCAGGAATAGACAGCTTAGAATGTTTTTCCAAACACTTGGAAGTCTGGGTAGGTTATTCGTGAAACAAAGTGTCCAGAGGGTTCAAAACACACAGGAATGATCCATTGCCAACATCGTCAACTCGCCCAAAAGGAGGTCTCTGCCCTGGCTTGCATACCTCCAGTGATAAGGCACTCACTGTTCCACAAGGTTGCTCCTTCCATATTTCAGCAGCTCTAACTGCTAGAAAGTCCTCCATAGAGAACTGAAATCTGCTTTCTGGGAACTCTTCCCCCCTCCCCCAATAGTCGGAGCCCACCCAGAACAGGTCATTGCCTTTGAGAGCAGAGGTCAGTGTTGACCTCTCAGAGCTTGAGTCTCTCCTTCAACTGGGCCTCCCCATGCAGGTAGCCAGTCCCAATTCCCTGGTAGCTCCTGTGTCCCCACACTCAGGGTGCACCTGAAGTCTCTGCTACTACCCCTAAGCAGAGGGGGTTGCCCCAGGAGGCCTTGACCTTGGCTGCTGTGCCCAGGAGTGTGCATCCTGTGTGTGTGTGTGTGTGCGCGCGCGCGTGCGCACGCGCAGGTACATACATGCACACGCAGGTGAACATGCGTGGGGGTGTGCAGGTCCCAGCCAAGTGTCCTTGTCTCCACACCCTCAGGTGCAGAGGTGACAGTCTTTGATTGACGCGTAAGAGCAACCCTTGGTGGTCGGGGCGCAGCGGGGGCTGTACTGCTGCCTCCCTGTCCCCTCCCTTGACTTGGAGAAGGGCACTCCGACCCCTGCGTAGTCTATTTACTTCCCCCGGCACCCTGGCCAATCACACTAGTTCTCTCATTTATTGGGTAAGGACACAGCAGCTCAGAGAGGTTGAGGGACAGCCGCTGAGTGACGGGGCTGGAATTTTAACCCAGAGGGGCCTGCCGCCAAAGCCAGTGCTCCTGTCCCACCACGCGATTCATGCCACTGGCTGGAATTCCGGGGGGCGAGGCGGGGACGGCATCCATTCAGTCAACAAACAGTTGCCAACCTGCTTTAGACCAGGCCCTGGGGGAGCCTGGGGGTCGTGACACCCAGGCTTTCCCTGGAGGAGCGCCCCCGTCTGGGAAGGTCAATGCCAGCGAACAAATTGAGCTTGACATACTGTGGGTGAGGCAGCCGCAGGTGAGGCAGTCGGCAGCCTGCCCCAGTGTTGGCCTTCGCTCCCTCCCACAGGGGGAAGCGTGGCATGGGGAGGGGCGGGGGAGCACCAGTGGGCTGGGGGAACCAGGGGGAGTTTTGCCAAGAGGGCCAGGGACCAGTTACGAGCTCACAGGAGAGCAAAAAGTTTGCCCAAAGGCCCAGTGACCGGCCCGAGGACACACAGGCCAGGCCAGGCCAGGCCCAGGCCCAGGCCCAGGCCCCCGACTGGAATGAATGTCACAGCCCAGTCTTTCCCTCCCTTCTTTCTCGGGCCAGAACCTCTTCGACAGCATCAAGAGTGAGCCCTTCTCCATCCCTGAGGACGACGGCAACGACCTCACACACACCTTCTTCAACCCTGACCGCGAGGGCTGGCTGCTCAAGCTGGGTGAGAGGCTCGCGCGCTCGGGCACGCTGCAGCCCGTGGCTGACACGCGCAGGCACACGCCCTCAGTCCGCACTCGGCCGCCGGCAGACACACACTCATGCAAGCTGCCACGGAGCCTCGGGGTAGAGTCGAGAGGGCCCCAGGTCTCCTGCCTCCCAGTGCAGCTGTCTGCTTGCTCCGTCTGTCTCTCTGTCCTGGGAATGGAGGGGCCCGTGGGGGAGGGGAGGAGGAATAGAACAAACAGGAAGGGGGGGAGTCTGGAGGGGTAGTGAATCCACAGACAAACCCTTCACTGCAGTTCTGTCTCTCTTCCCCAACGGCTGCTGGGGAAGCTGAGGTTTGGTTGAAGTTAGGGCGCCTGCCCCAGGCCATGTGACCAGCAAATGGCAGATTTGGGCGGGCCGGAGGTTGGATGTCCCTGAAGGATGCAGGGGGTCAGGGGCGGGGGAGAATGACAGGATGTGGCTCAGAGGAGCTTCCCCTCAACATGATGAGGGGGCAGGGGGTGCCGAGGGCCTGCTGAGAAGAGCTGCAGTAGGTGCTGCGCTGGTGGGGGCGGCAGCTGCGAAGTCTGGGGCATGCAGGGCCCGGCCCTCTGACCTCCCCCACTTGCACCCCTGGATGCCGCCCAGCGGGGACAGCTTAGCCAGGCACAGTGGCCTTCCGAGACAGGCGAGGACAGCACCTCGTGGTGGAGCAGGGACCTGGGCCTGGGGTGCTCACGCTGGCCCCGCCTCTCTCCACGCTCATGTCCAGTCGGTCTTTCTAAAATCCATGTGGCCTCCTTTCTTGCCCAACCAGCTGTTCTCAGCCCCAGGAAGGCCCTAAGCTGCAGATCCCAGCTCCACCACCCGTGTGTTCATGGTCTGGTTACTCAGCCTCAACTTCCACGGCTGTGAAATGGGGAGAATACATAACCCGTGGGAGGAGTGAATGTGTAGCAAAATAGCCAAGCACTTGCCTCTGGAGCTTGGACCCCGGGATTTGAATCTCAGCTCTGCTGCAGGATCTTGAGCAGATGACTCGGTCTCCTCATCTATAAAATGAAGTTAATGATCTCTTCCTTATAGGTGGTTCTAGGGATTCATAAGTGAATAGCTTTTAAATTTTATTTACTGGCCCTGACTGGTGTGGCTCAGTGGATTGAGTGCCAGCCTGTGAACCAAAGGGTCACCGGTTCTATTCCCAGTCAGGGCACAGGCCTGGGTTGCAGGCCAGGTCCCCAGCAGGGGGTGCAAGAGAGGCAACCACACATTCATGTTTCCCTCTTTTTCTCCCTCCTTTCCCCTTTCTCTAAAAATAAATAAATAAAATCTTTTAAAAAATATATAATTTTTTTAATTCATCGATTTGAGAGAGAGAGAGAAAGAGACATCAATTTGTTGTTCCGCTTATTAATGCACTCATCAGTTGCTTCTTGTATGTGCCCTGACTGGGGATCCGTCCTGCAACCGTGGTGTATTGGGACAATGCTCTAACCAACTGGGCTACCTGACCGGGGCTTAAGTGAATTTTTTTTTAATCCTCTAGAATATTGCCTGGGAAATGAAAGATGAAATGCTTAGCCCAGTGTCAGGCAGGGAGCAGGCCAAGGGATGGACCAGAGGGGTGGAGGGGCAGGGACGGGAAAGCCCAGGCAGTGACCAGCCACTGCTTGGGGCCTGACTGAGGAGGAGCCCGGAATGCTGGGTGAAGCCGCTCAGGGGTGCCTGCGAGTAACAGGAGCCGCTAAGACTTTTTGAGTAAGGAGGGAATAGATCTGGGGGGAAATGCAGCCAGCTAGGAGTTGGGGGTGAGGGTGGGGGAAGCATCCAAGGTCCTGCTCTTCCGTGGCACAAGTATTGGTGGCCAGAGAGGAACAGGACCAACTCCTCTGCTGGTCTCTTGCAGGAGGCCGCGTGAAGACGTGGAAACGGCGCTGGTTCATCCTGACTGACAGCTGCCTCTACTACTTCGAGTTCACCACGGTGAGCCGCCCCTGCCCCTGCCCCTGCCCCTGCCCCTGCCCCTGCCCCCTTTTGGATTTCCACTAAGCAGTCACCTCACAGAGCTCGGGCTCCTTTGGGGTCACACAATCCACCACCACACCCATTTTACAGATGGGAAAACTGAGGCACAAAGAGGAGGAGGGGCTGGGCCAAGAGCCAAGGGCCAAGGCAGAGCTGAGGGTTTGAAGCTAGGTCTCCCAACTCCCAGCCAAGGCCCTTCCTGCCTCACTCCCCTCAGCCGTCCAGGAAGATAGGGACACTCCTCCTGGGTTTGGGAAGCCCCACGGCCACAAGGCTCCAGTTGCAGACCCTCACCTTCCCTCCTGATGCCCTGCAGGACAAGGAGCCGCGGGGAATCATACCCCTGGAGAACCTCTCCGTGCAGAAGGTGGACGACCCCAAGAAGCCAGTAGGTGTCGGAGTTGGGGCCTGAGGCCGGAATGGCTGGGGAGGAGAGGGTGGCTGGGCTGGGCTGGGCTCTCCAGGAGGCGAGGCCAGGCCCAGCACACCTTCGGGGGGCTCAGGGCGGCCCCCACCTCCCTTCTGAGGCCGAGGACCCTTTGCCTGCCCCTCCACCTCTCCCAGGAAGCAGGCCTGGGAGGGGGGCAGGCGGGGGGCGGGCGGGGGCGGGGGCCAGTGCATGCTGCTGCCTGTCCGAGCTCTGGTCTTGCCCAAACGCCTAGTCTTCTCTGAGGTTCCCAGCCCAGCCACCCTCTCCCCCTGCCTCCATCTGCCCTCATCTGGCTACCTGTCCCCCCACACACACACAGTTCTGCCTGGAGCTCTACAACCCCAGTTGCCGGGGCCAGAAGATCAAAGCCTGCAAGACAGACGGCGACGGCAAGGTGGTGGAGGGCAAGCATGAGTTTTACCGGATCTCGGCCTCCAGCGCCGAGGAGCGGGACCAATGGATCGAGGCCATACGGTAAGGGATAGCCAGCTGCTACAGATGGACCTCCTGTGACTTCCCAGAAGCCCCTGCTTCTCTCGGGCCTTGTTTCCTTCTCTGCAAAGGAGGACAATTCCAGAATCTCCCCCCCCCCGCGATTTCTGATGTGCAAGTCCCTCCCACCCATGTTCTGTGAGCACCTCCTCTGAGCCGGCACCTGCCAGGCTCCAGGACACAGGGGAGCGAGGCACCAGCTTCCCGCGGCTGGTGGGAGGAGCGGGTGGGCTCTCGCACGTACAGCCCTTTGCCCGGCGCCTGACCCTGGGTGAGCGCGCAGGAATGGCACTGTAGTTAGCATCGGGATCCCAAGTGGCCCTGGAAAGCCTGGGGGGATATGGAGGGAAGGGTTTCCCAGGCGGAAGACCCAGTGCAGGCAAAGATGAGAGAGCCAGTCAGCGTGCGGCCTACCTGGACAGCACCCCAGAGTCCTGAGTGGCTGATACTGGGCAGTGCGGGGCCTGACTGTGCAGGGATCGGGCACAGTGAGGGTGAGCAATGGGAGATGAGGCTGCAGAGGATGGCAAGACCTTGGTCACCATGGCAACCGCCTTGGGTGTCTGGGGGGCACTGGGGAGCCACAGGCCGGTAAACAGAGAAAGGGTGTGGCCAGGTGAGAGAGCCTACAGTGTAAGAGTACAGGAGGAACAGGCAACGGAGAGCCAGGCTGGGGGGCAGGACAAGCACCATGGCTCTGGGCCAGTGGAGAGACGCAGGCAAGGGCGCGTCCTGCAGGCCGGGGGAAGACTCAGCATTAGTCTCTGGACCTGGGCCGCATCCCCAGGACTCGCACGGTGAGGAAGCTGAGGCCCAGAGAAGGGAAGGACGTGCCCAGGGTCACACAGCCAGTGAGGGACAGGGTTGAACCCAGCAAGCAAGTCGGCTGACTTCCCTTGGGCTCTTCCACCTCCTTCCGAGAGTCTGAAGAGCGGTCCAGGGGCGTTTGGGGGCGGCGTTCCCGAGGCCTTCCCCTCTCAGTCTCGCTCTGTCTGGCCCCGCTGCTGGCAGGACTCCGGGTTAGGCCGGCGAGTCTGGATGACACCCCCCTGCCTGGTCCCCGGCAGCAGGGGAGGCCAGCCCCTCCCTGGGAAACCCACGGCCCTGTAACGAGCCCTGGGAGATGAGACCCCCTGATGGCCAGGTCAGCCCTGAAGTCTTTTCGCCTGCTCTCCTTCCAGAGCCAGCATCACCCGTGTCCCCTTCTATGACCTGGTCTCTGCTCGGAAGAAGAAGATTGCCAGCAAACAATGAGCTTCCTGGGACACGGTGCTGGGCCAGGCGTCCCGGGAACTCTGTGGCCTCCCAGTCCAGGGCACCTTCTCCCGGCCTGCAGACACCCTCCCCTGCCCCCCATTACTTCAAGCTGACAGGAGGGCGTGAGGCAGAGCTCAGGAGGGTGGGTGGGAACGGCTGCGGGCCCAGAGCCGGCGAGAGGCCCCTCGGCACCCAGCCGCTGCCCGGGGAGGCCTGAGGAAAGCAGTTGAAGAAAAATCAGCCCGAGAAACTTGGCCCCCTGCCATTTCTCTGGGCCTCAGTTTCCTTTTCTGGGAATGTCTCCTCGCACTCTGAAATGACGTCAGTCTCGCAGCGGGAGGGACTGTGTGGCTCTGAAGCTCCGTCTTCCACATGCTGCGCGCCCTCTGTCCAGGCCTCACTCCCCCTCTGATTCTTGGAAAGCCGAGATGCTTGGATAGACATGTCTTGGCCCCTCTCCACCCAGTGATGGTAGCCACAGCCCCAGTGCTGGTCCCGCAGTCAGTGAGCTGGCTGCCTCCCAACTCTCGACTGCTTCCTCCAGGCAGGCAACAGGATTGCACCAGGCCACCCTAAGCAGCTTCCAGCCGGAGATGTCTGCACTTGTTCATGAGCTGGAGGGGACCCTGGACTGCATGATGGTGGGTGGCTGAGAGCAGAGTGTCCGCTTCAGGGGGGAGGCAGGTGGGACTCCTCAAGAAAATGGTGCAGAACATCCCAGACAGATGCACGCAAGCAGGACCAGCAAGCAGGTCTGCTGACTCCACTAGGACTCTTTTCAAGAAGCCAAGAAGAGAGAGTTTGTGTAGGTGTGGTGACCAGGAGGGCTGCCTGGAGGCAGCAGCCAAGTCAATGAGTGACACTGAAGCTCAAGGCAGGAGCCTCAGCCAAGACTTTCCCGTGAGACCACTCAGCAGGATTCCCCTGAGGGGCAGCCCCGCCGGTCCTGTGTCCTGAGACGCGTCCCTGCGGCAGCACTGTGTAGAGCTGAGCCGGCTTCCAGCGTGGGCACGCACTCTGTCTCCAAGGAGGCCTCAGCCTGGAGGAGGATTTACAGAAGCACTTCTCACCCCCTCAAACGGGCCCTGGGGGAGCCCCAGGAGGGAAGTTCCCTGCAGGAAAGCAGGATATGGGTTCGCCTCCGCCAGCCTGAGTGGGTGAGTGGGCGCTCACTGGGTTCCCCAGGTGAGCGGAGGCACCTCTCCTCCCTCCACCCCCACCCCCGCTGCACACCTTCCGCGGGTGAGATGGAGCAGCTGCCTTGTCTCTGCGAGTGGGCGAGGGCCCAGTGATGGTATCGCTCTGAAGAGGATCTGGCTTGGGCAGGAGGAGGTCTTGCAGGACATTTTAGGATTTCCACAGACCTCATGTCAGCCTGGGAGCTGAGCACTGCCTCTGCCACCTCATTGGCCATGGAGGGGCAGCCAAGGGTCATGGAGTCTGAGGTCCACTCCTGTCCCCTCTCTGGTCCTCAGCTCCTTCCCCATTGCTGAAGGGAAATCAGTGATTTTTGGGGCATGAGTAGCAGGAATCACTCAGAACAGAAAATAAAAGTCGTGATCCATCTCGTGAGTAGGCCTCTGTCCCCTCTCTCTGGGACCGCAGCTGCCATCTGTGACCCCACCCTAGCCCTCACCTTCATCACCTTCCCAGCACACCGGGAAGAGTGGGCACTCAGAGACCCTCATCCTCAGGAAGCTTGAGGCTGCCACACTGGACAGATGTCCCCATGGTCTGGATTTGCCACAGGGGCTCCCTCAGAGCAGGGACTGAGTGAGCTGGTTTTGCCATGGCCAGGGAAGAGGCAAAAGAACTTCCCAGCAGGCAGTGCTCTCTAAGAGAAAGAGCAGCTGCCTTGGGAGACAGATAGCGAGCTCCCTGTCTGTGGAGGGATGCAAGCACAGGCTGGCTCCAGTGATCATTTGGGGTGTTATAGAGGGGCCTGTATTCAGTAACCTTCATTTACTTGTACTTTCCACAAGAGTTATTAAATACCTCCAATACTCTGGGCACTGTTTCAGGCGCGAGTGGAACAAGACAGAATCCCTGCCCATGTGGGGCTTACATTCTAGCTGTTCTGAGTTTTAATACTCTAGGCAGCCCCCTCCAGATGGGTAGGGCTTCCAGGTGGCTCCCACGCCCTAACCCGGCCCCTTCTCTGCCGTTCCACCAGTGGACCTTAAGGCATTGGATGGGTCAACTTATCCATATATTCATTCATCCGGCCCCTGCTTATTGAGTACCTACCAGCCCCGGGCTCCACACACAGAGCCAGGGATCCAAAGCCCTTGTCCTCTTAAGGAGCTCAGATCAGGTAGGGGAGACAGGTGTGAAAGAGCAGGGACAGTCTAGGCCAACCCGTGCTGTTACAGAGCCGGGCACAGGGGCCAGGTGGAGGCGGGAGTGGGCTGAGGGACGATCTGTGGAGGTGTCTCAGAGGAGCTGTGCTCGAGTGCTGGAAGCCGGGTGGGAGAAAGGACGTGCACCTGAGAACCCAGTGAGCTTACCTCTGCTCTCCAACACACACCTACCCACGCACCCACACACACACACACTAACTCCTCACAGGTCAGACTGTTCCTAGGACGCAGTAAGAACAAAATAATTGTTGGTTAGACTGAAGTCAACTGAAAGTCAGCATGAGCAAGTGCACACATCTGGAGGCTTAGAGAACTGTGGGGCAGGGTGGAGCTGCCAGGGGTTGGGGGGCGTGGCAGGGAAGCAGGGAAGGGTCGCGTCATTGTCTGGGACTAGTGGGACCTCCAGCTAGCTGGCCCAGCCCCCCTGCTCCTCCCCTAGGCAGCCTCTGCCCCCCCTCCCACCATTCCACCACTCCTCACTCCGGGCGGCAGGGGGCTCCCACCCCACGTGGATGAGAGGTTCCTCCTCAAAGCAGCCAGCCTGGGGCCCAGGCCGCCTTCCTCTGACAGGGAGGAGCATCGCCAGGGTAGAGCCTTGGCCGGGGCAGGCTGGAGGGGAGGCATCTTGCCTGCTGGAACCAGCAGGCTGGAGCAGCCCAGGAGATACCCACGGCTGAGAGAAGCACAGGCCTCCCTGCTGGGCTCAGCCCGGGAGTCAGGGCACCCAGCTCTCCCACGTCCCGGCTGTGGGCCCCTGAACCAGCAGCCTTCCTTCTCTAGAGGTGAGCTTCCCCCTGAAGGGCTGAGCCAGGTGACTTCCACCACACAAGCCTTTAACGGGGACTTCCAGGTACAACGGTGTCTCAGACATGGGTATAAGAGCCCCTGCCCTGGGGACAGACTGATAAAGGTGCAGGAGAGTGGTGGCAAATGAGGAGGAGATGCAAAGTGTGAAAGGCCACAGGGACGGTCCCGAGGGACACCCAGAGAGCCTGGGTTCAAGGCCCAGGTCTACCTGTGTCTTAAGCAAATTCCGTAGGCTCTGTGAGCCTCAAATTTTCCATCTATAGAATGGGGATGCTTAAATATATGCAAAAATACTTAGAACAGTGTCGAGCACCTACTCAAGCTCATGTTAAATGGTGTTATTTACTATTGTTGTTATTACAAGGCAGAATGTGTACGTGCTTTCATGAAGATACCAAACAGGCTGAGAGGCCACTGAAGGGTGAAAGATGAAAGATTCATGGGGATGGGGGGTGAAGATCTGGGAAAGCTTCTTGGAAGAGGTTCCCATTAAAGAAAAGCAAAGTGGAAGCTTAGCTTATTTAGCCAGTAGGACCAGGAGGAACAAGACAAGGATGCATAACAAGGCAAGATATTTCTTGGATTCCCTTGGACTCCAAAAACAGCCTCAGTGGGCCAAAAGGATACAAATTTAAGAAGGGCTGAGTCTCAGCAAGAGCCGAGCTGTGTGCACAGTGCTGCGATCCCTTGCATCTCCAAGGCCACCATGCCGCTTGTCATGAAGCTCTGACTGAGGGTCCCATAACGGGGCTGCTGAACAGAGGCCATCGCTGAACCGAGAAGAACAAGTTTGGTACAAGATGCCAAGGGACAGAATAGGTGAGGGCAAGGGGACTCTGAGGAAACAAGTGGGCCCCCTGCCCAGCGCCTGAGGAGTAGGAGCACACAGGTAGCCCAGAGCTGGCCCCAGGGTCCTGCACCTGAATGCCAGGGAGCAGCAGAGGGTGGAGGCGGGGGGGCGGGGCAGGCAGCCAGCAGTCAAGCGGCAAGTGTGAGAGACCTACAGAAATTGATTTATTAGGGACAATGAAAGGAGCTAAATATGTTTGCAGCTCAGTGATGACTCAGACGCTCCCCCGGGGGTCCACAAAGTGTGAGCATCAAAGAGGCAAAGACAGGCCTCCCCCAACCTGTTCTCTGCCAGCCTTGAACCCTCCTTCCCGGTGATGGGAGGACCCCCCACTGAGTGTCCTGAGGGCCTGGCTTCGGAGGGGCAGCAGAGACCCAGCCCCCACCCCCGCCCCCGGCCCTCTCCAGACCTCCCCAGAATAACTGAAGAGCAAAGCCTCCCGGTGAGACGCATCTGGGTTGAAGTCCTGGCCTTGCCCCAAATTGCCGTGTGATCTTGAACAAGTGGCTGGGCCTCTTGGACCCACATTCACCGGAGAGGATAGCTCCCCACAGAGCCAGGGCTCTGCTGTCCCCCTCCCTGCCTGGCAATGTCATCCCCGCTCCATTCAGTGCCTTCCAGACAGCACAGCCTCCTCTGCCCAAAGCCCGACAGCTTCCCTCCTGGAGAAAAGCCAGCCCCCGCAGGGCCTCGCTGGGGAGAATCCGTTCTTCCGGCACAGAGTTCCAGGCCGTCGCTGGGCTCCAGGAGAAACAGGGATGAATCAGAGTCTGCGGCCGGAGGCAGGGCAGCCAGAGGCGGCAGGCACGACCTCCTCATGGGGCGGGGTGCTGGGGGCCACAGTGGGGGTGTGGGAAGGGGACCTAGAGGGAAGCGGGAGCCAGGAGGAGCAGAGGACGGGGGTCTGTAGGATGACCCGGGGAGACCCAGGCCTCTCTGGATGGCACAGGTTGAATGGCGGCTCACCCCCGGAGCCCAGGGGGCTAGTCAAGCCTCAGGCCTGTGGGGCGGGGGGGGGGGGGGGGGCACTTCTATGGGTCACAGAAGTCGCTGCCCCTCCCAAGCCCACCTGGCTTCTTCTGGGCCCATGGTACATGAGGGCCTGAGGCCTCTGCCACCTTTGTCCCCACAGGCGATATTGACAGAGGTTTCCCTTTATATTCTCCTGTGAGGTCTTAGCAGCAAGTGACCCTCAGAACAAGCCACATAGACCCAGAGCTCCAGATTTCACCCAGACACCCCTGCCCCACCCCCAGCATGCCTAGCAGCAATAGGTCATGGCCAAGGCCTCCAGCCGTAGGGCACTAACTAGGGCCAGAGCCTCAGCCTCTCTGCTGCCCGACATCCTGCCACTCTGCAGCATAGGCACTATTGTCCCCGCTCTACAGAGAAGGGCCCTGAAGCTCATGGGGCACATGGCCCAGCTGGAGGGGCCTGAGCCAGCAGGAACCGCGACCCTCTGACTGGAGACCTGTATAGAGTTAGGGCGGCCACACAACCACCTTCCAAAACGGGACTCTCTGAGAGTGAGAGCGTGCTGGACTAGAGAGGATGCAGGACCACAGGAGTGCACCAGGGCAGCCAGACACCCCAAGGCACATGGTCACCCTAGAGACTGGACATGTCTGCAGGAGTCCAGCAAGGAAGTGTGGGCTTCCTCTGTGGCCCTGTGGGCTGGAAGGGATGTGACCCACGGTTTCTTAATCCTGGAGAAGCAAAGGGCAGCTGTTTTACCCAGAGAACACCGGCCACCAGGCCTCTACTGCCATCCAATTTCAGTGAACACTTCCCTCTTATTAGTCTTCCCAAGTCTTTCCCTAATGGGGTGTCGGGGGGCTGATCTCCGAGCAGCGAGCCTGGTCCACCGTCTGCCCTCCACAGGTATTAGTTGCCACAGTTATATTTGTGATACATAGTTTCCCTGGCAGGGCTGAGAGCAGGGGCCCCAGACGGAACCACC